GATTTCTCCTCCAGAGCCCACAACCTAATAAATATTCAGTAGCCTTGCTGGATCACCATGCTTTTGCAGACTTGCGTTTTTTCTGTCAGTGTCAGTTGCACACTGTCTACATCATTGCCATCACTTTATTCTAAGCATCATTAGACCATTGCTGACAGCTGTGTCTGCAAGCCTCCCCAGGCACTGCCTTTGAACCCACTGGACTACACCCCTCCCCTGCAGCTGAGCCGCAAAGCCACATTCCATTGGCACACAGCCCCATTACCCAACTCATGGCCTACTCACGGGCTTTTTAACATAACATTCAGGGGTGGCTGTAGCTCAGGTGGTAGAGCAGGCTACCTATTAAATGGGAAGCAGATGAGGATTGGTGGTTCAATCCTCATCTGCTCCAGTCTGTATGCCAAATATCCTTAGGCAAGATACTCACCCAAGATGCTCTCGGTGCATCCATCAGAATATGACTGTGTGTGAATGTAAGATAGAAGCCCTTACATAGAAAGACCACTGAGAAAAGTGCTTGTGTGAATGGGTGAATAAGGCAAGTTGTGCAAAATGTTTTGAGTGCTCAGTGTAGAAAAGTACTGTGTAAGAATCAGTCCATTCAATGGCTGCTGTTTCGTCTATCTGGGGTGCACCTGCCTGCCTCCCCCATATACTGTACCTCCCTTCATCTGACCACACACTTCCCGCTGCATAGGCTCTGCCCAGGTGTCACTGTGGATGATAACATTATACAGATAGGTGGCAGCCTGCGTAGTGTGCATCTCAGCACCTGCTGGAAAGTGGCCGACGCGCCAACAAGCTGAAAGGAAGGATGACCAGTTGGTACAACCCATACGGAGTGGAAAAGGCCGTTTTCTCCTTGTACTCTGGAGAAAAGGGAATCTGCCAGTAACCTTTGGTCAAATCCATCAAAAATCCATAGACCCGTCTTTCTTCAGCCAATTCCCTCTGAACTCTTTACGTTTTGTGTTCAGGTAACCCGAAGAGCTGTGAAACCAGCACCACCCCAGGGTTAGTCTCAAAGTGGTGTTCTATGAGAGCGGTGCAACTGGGCAGGGGAGACAACAGACACACAACATCTGCTCTCTGGGCCAATGTTAGAAGGTGGTCACAAGGAGAGAGGTGGGAATGGTTGAAGTTGGCACCTCCGGCCCCAACTCATGTCTATCCTTTACCAATCTAACAGGAGAAATGGATTCTCCCTCTCTCCATGCTTTAAGGAGGTGGTTGATTTGTGTGACCCCTGTACAACCACAACACTTCATAGTCAACACGCCCCACTTGCCACTGAGGTCCAGGACATACTGAATTACTGAATATGGAGGGTGCTGGGAGGCCACCTCGCTGCAGCTTCCCAGAGCCTCTGAGTATAGTCAAAGGGGCGATCACACGCTTTCATCTGGCTCACCAAGGAACCAGATGAAAGCGATGAAATCGATCATCTGATCCAAAATCACAGACGTGCTTAAACTTGCCTTGCGATGCTGGGAGCAGCTACAGAGCCCACTCTTCCACTGGCACACCTTGGCTGCAGCTCCGAAGATATCCACAAAGGACCATGCCACAGGTCTGACAAATCACTTCGGGAATTTGGTCAACACTGTGACAGGATTTGTGCTGCTGGGAAACCCGACACAACCTAAAAGGTGCTTGGTTTATTGCAAATAACTTCTACTTGACAAGGAAGGTGGAAGGCTATGAAAATAACGCAAGAGACTACGCAAAGTAAACCCTAAGTAGATTACAAAGACAAATAAACAGGAACTCAAATGAAGAACTAAGGCTCAAGATATTAAAAAAAGATATATAAGTCAGTATAAACAATAAGCAAAAAAAGAACCAAACAGAACATCAAACCTCTGGTTTGACCTTTTGAACTTTACTCCACAGGTGGATGCCTTACAACAGCCAAACCAAAGGCAGACCGATCGTGTAACCCACCATGCACCAAGCCACAGTCCCTGTGCACAGAGGTGAGTATATGATGAAGTCAATTCATTCATTTTTCTTACATCTGTGGTCAGATCCAATCTTCAGCTTCCACTGTACCACTGAGTAACTGTCCAGGTGGATTTGAGACCTATCTAATAGAGCTATATTAGCTCCATTGCCAGGCTCTGCATTCTTGTGAACAGCTCATTAAACCCTTCATGCTAGAAAATAAAACTTCCACCTGCTTTTTGAATATAAGATTCAAATCATACATCATTTGAAAAATGAAATGCTTATGCTTACAAATATTAAATTCAGTGTAGAAGACCATCATTACCAGCATGAGCAGTTTCTCATTCTGATATAGTTGCAGACAAGCAGAAAACTAGCCTGCTGTTTGCTTCATAGTTGTATTATATTAGAACACATCATTATTGCTTCTTACTTCTACAAGTAAGCCTGCAGCCCAAGAGCAAAGCTCTCTATTGGGATGATATGAGGTCTTTAAGATAAGATGTTTATGATTATTCAGGACCTTGAATATGAAGAATTAAATTTGATTCTGGGTTTAACAGGGAGAACTGAAGAGAATCCAATTTGGGGGAAATAAAGACTGTCTATATATTACCTGTCAGTACTCTTGCTGCAGCAACTCAAAGCTTTTCAGGCAACGTTTAGAACAACATGATAATAATCAATTGCAGTAGCCCAGCCTAGAAGTAATAAATGACTGAAGTAGTTTTTCACCATCACTCTGAGACAGGAGGTTTCTTATTTTCGAGATATTGAGACATTTGATAAGAGAAGCTGTTAACAAATTGTGAAACTTGCGATGGCATCATGATATGTGACTAAACCTTACATGACTTGGACTTTTGAGTTGTGAATGGCTGCTGTTTTATTTCTGTTTTTTAAACCTTTAGAAATGTGATTGTTTGAGGTTATTCATGTTATTCAGTAGTTCAGGTCAGTAGGTCATATTTCTACAGTACATCTTATTAATTACTCATGCAGGGAGCATTTTTATCCCAAAGGAAGGGATTCTTATTTACCAGATGTCCATGTGACTGGCTTCGAAAATGTTTGTCATGCTTAGCTCTTGATGGCAGGCTATTGGTTTTGAGACTAAAGTTGGGCCATTTATATGGATACACTGTAATAAAATGGGAATGGTTGGTGATATTAAAGTCCTGTTTGTGGCACATTAGTATATGTGAGGGGGCAAACTCCTCAAGATGGGTGGTGACCATGGTGGCCATTTAGAAGGCGGCCATCTTGGATACAACTTTTGTTTTTTCAATAGGAAGAGGGCCATGTGACACATCAAACTTATTGGTAATGTCACAAGAAAAACAATGGTCAGTCAAAGACCATTGTCAAATCATTCAAAGAGTCAGGCCAGTCACACACTGATAGTGAAACTGCCCTTCAACAGGAAACAAATACAAAAACATGTTCTCAGACGTGTGTCATAGGTGCATCTCATGTCATGTCATGGATATACTTTCATTATAAGAACACACACTTAAAAGCACTGCTTTTGAGAGTGCCCCTTAAGAGGGTCGTTGACCCTCTATTGATCATCTGCCTAATCACATGAGCCAAGATGAAAACGGGTGTGGGTCACTATCAGCCAAGTGTAATAGTGACCCACACCCTTTCTGTGAATACCTGCAACCAAATCAGTTTTAGACCAGCTTCAAATCTAGAAACACTTCTGCTGAGGTCATCTCAACCCATATTTCAAGTTTTATGTAAAAGACTTGGATGTTATTTTCTTCTCTTGTCAAAAATAACTATTACCAGTCAACAATAATGCCTATACTATACAGTCTCCCACTGTCTCTGTTAACATATTTTCAAATGATGCTAAATTCTGCATCAACTCTGCTGACTGGTGCTAAACATATGAGCTTATCCCTCCAGTCATGGCATAGCTGCACTGGCTTCCTGTGCATTTTAGAATTTAGTTTAAGCTTTAATAATGGCCCTTAATAGACAAGCATTAGCTTATATTACCAGTCTTACTCATTGACATTCAGTTCCCAGGACTTTCAGTCCACTGGCAAAGATCTCTTAGCCCTTTCCCACTAAAACCTACTCGGCTCAACTTTACTTGGTTTTGAGGGTTTTCCATCAGGTGACAGTACTTTGTACTAGGTACGTTTTTAGGACCTACTCGATCAGGTTCCAGACTATCTAAATTGATCTGATCAACAGACTGACTGGTCAGTCAGTGGCATCACTTGAGGTATTAGAGCGACTCCTTCACCCACCCATCCATCCATTCGCATCCGCTTATCCTTTTCAGGGGCGCGGGGGGCGCCGGAGCCTATCCCAGCTGTCATAGGGACTCCTTCACAAAAATCAAAATTGAAACCTGTTAACGGGGGAACTGGCTGCACAAAAATCAGCACCGTGTCCAGGAATGAAGTCCAGACACATACCAATCAGCAGCACGTATACCATGGCCTCAATGCCCTGGATTGTGTGTTGTTTTTGTCCCATGCAAGTGACATCACAGGATTTTTGGCTGCATTGCTATAACAACCCCATGCACGTTAGGTGTTTGTTATGCTATTACTCAATTGTAATTGAAAATGACGTAGACTGAGTAGAGTCGAGTCGAGTCAATTAGAGCTAAGTAGGTACTAGTGGAAAAGAGGCATGACATGTCCTCAAACAAGGCGAGAAAGCCGTTGCAGTCGCTCTGCTACAGTTGTGGAAGCAGTTACTGCTCGACATCAGGCAGAGTTCTTATTACAGGTTCATCAGGAAGACTTAACTTCTCTAAAACAGACTCCAAAACAACTCAAGTTAATCTGGGGATTTTCAAAAACTCATAGTTTATCAACTTTACATGTAATGCGATGAATTGGTCAGTGCAACTATCAGATACCAAAACCAAACCATAAAAAGGAAAAAGAAAATATAAAAATGTTGATTGATTGGTATCTGCTGGGAATAATCACCACAAAGACGTCTTTTCTCCCTTTTTAAAGCAGTTTGAAAAATAATTTGACTTCCAGAAACTTTTATTCCTTGTGTTACCTATGGCACATCTCTGCTGCTCAGAGTTTCGTTTACATAGTTTCATATAACAGATTGCATTACAAAATTTCTCTTTCCGGTTTCAGGCGGGTGTGTGTGGCTGTGAAGATGGCTACACTGAAGTGATGACATCTGATGGCTTGCTGGACCAGTGCACTCTCATTCCAGTGCTAGAGATCCCCACTGCAGGTGACAACAAGGCTGACGTTAAGACGATCCGAGGCTTCAACCCCACTCAACCTGCAGCCAGCTCACCGGGCAGGGCAGGACGCACCTGGTTCCTGCAGCCCTTTGGTCCAGGTAACAGAGCCATCGCTAACTGTCAAGTCTATAAG